GTACAGCGATGCATGTATTTATTGGAGTATAAGCTTTTATCTGCATTCGGACAACATCGATACGTACGGGTAAGAACAGGCAGAAGTAAAAGGCGATGGATTCTGAAAATACGGTATTATAAAAGTCGAGAAAATCATCTGTACGGATACCGGAGATGACTATAGCGATTCCAATACACGATCGTTTACGATCACTTTATCGGTTTATAAATGCACGGGAGAGGCAGAGATGAGCATAGAGGAGCAGAGAGGAGCAGAGAGGGCGAGAGGGAGAGAGAGAGAGAGAGGGAGAGAGAGAGAGAGAGAGAGAGAGAGAAATTCTACCCTTTTGTCTCGAACCTTGAACGAGACAATAGCTACGATTTTCTAAAAAGCATAAAATCTTATGACTTGGATACTCATTTAATGACTGTTCGATTTCGAAAAACAATTTTCTTCGGCCGGTATCGAGGCGTGGAAACGTTAAACAGGATAAAAATGAGACATAATAAAGGTCAAAGACATAGTAACCGAGCTCTACGGTCGCCAAACCATACAAAAACAAAATAACAATAATAATTTTTCGTATTTTACGTAACTCCAGGGCCGGCATTGCACAATTTGTAAGAATGATCAATTTACAGTTTTATCAAACTTAATCTCTATATATATATATATATATATATATATATATATATGTGTGTGTGTGTATGTTCAAAATAACCGTTATATTTTTAATATTTTACAAAGCTGCTTTACGCATGGAATAAAAAATGAAGAATTTTCAACAATGTTAATGCAGCGCGATACATTGGGTTATATTGTGTTCTTAAATTGTCCTTATTTGAAAGCTGATTTATGCTTTCTGCATAATTTTAATAAAACATTTTTCTCATCGATGGATAATTATTTCTTTTTTTTTTTATCATTCTGTGATAAAACGTTGATAATTCGAATGTGATTAAGAACCATGTATTATCTTATCTTCTCGATTCAAAATAGTTTCGAACGAACGCCAAGCGATCCGACACGCGCATCCGGCATGTGCATTTCGCGAAGCGTAGTTTACACAAAATATTTGGCAGCAATATTTATTTTCAGCGAGTAACCATTTAAATTCCAGCCCTTCAACTTTATTAGTCTACCATTTTTCTGCCTCTATTTGTTTTTTGCTTTTCGTTTTAGTTTTCGTTTCTATCATTCTTTCTTCGTTTCTTTTCTCTCTCTCTTTCTCTCTCTCTCTCTCTCTCTCTCTCTCTCTCTTTCTCTCTCTTCCTTTCACGGCTCGCCGAGATCTCTCGAAATTACACATCTTTACGAGAGAGTGAGGGAGGGGAGAGCTTGAAAAATGTTTTCAAGCGATTAACTTTCTTGCGGTCACCACTCATATAATACGCGACCCTTCTCACATCCCCAGCTTAACTAACTTGGCATTTCGATCACTCGGTGGCAAAGCGACAAAATCCGTCGACCGAATTCCAGAATGAAGCTTGAGCGGACAGAGGTGAGCGCGTTTCCTCGTCCCTGATATCGTAATTCGGTCGAGGAATATACGTAAGCCGAATTCCAGGCTCATCGGCAGTCACACGAGGAAGAACGTGTTCACCTCGGCTGGAAATGCTTGGCCATCGGTAAGCTCTCGCTCCTCGCGGAGTCTCTCGGAAAAGCTCTCATCCCCCCCCCCTCCCAGCCCCCAATGATTGCCCTGCGATTTCCCATGGCTTTTTGCTGGGCTCGTGAGAATCGGGTCTGCAATTGCAAGACTAGGCTGAAGAGGAGGAGACGCATCTACTTGGCGATGCAGGTGCGCGCAGCCCGGTAATGGCGAGGTATAATGTATAAGCCAAGAACGTGCCACCGTATATATCAATACAGATCCTCGTTACGTGTTGTTGGTATGGCTTGGGTTGGATGAGGGTGTAGGTGGGCCGCGCCCTCTTCCTCCCCCTTGCATGACCACTCGATCAACGCTCTGTCGTAGCCCCGACAGTGACTTACTCGAGAGGCTGTTTGCGCTCGATATTGCTGGCCATGCCCGTTATCTATTCATCTTTCTTACAACGTGGCGCGCTCGAGTCGAAAATATACAAGGTGTTTCTACAAGGCGCCGGTATGCTCGCGGCACTGGCGATGGGCTATGGGATGGGGAACGGATGGTGGTTAGGGGTTAGGGGTTTGGGAGATTGTGGAGGATGGGAGTAGAGGCGGGAGTAGTGGCTCGGGGTAAGGGAGAGGTAATTGATTTTCGTATGCGCCGCCGCTCTGCGCGTCGTCCCTCCGTTCGAGCTCTTTATCATGGCCTGGTTGCATTGGAGAGGTGCGCTCGATTTTCATTTCTACCGTGTCTTTCGATTTCGCGCGGTGAAATGTATTTGTCTTTTGCTTAAAATGCCGATAATCTCGAATGGAAAAACAGGATTGCTCATCAAGGACGTAATGCGGCGACGCTTCGCTTTTACGAGGATGCAGTTGAGTCGTTGGACAGGTCCTTGCGATATTTTTCGTATGCGCTTTATGCGCGGTCGACGATTAGCTCGGCGCTCCCGTTTTTAACAAACCTTTTTAATCAGCGCCATTCAGCTTGTGCGACTGTCCATTGGACGAACAAGTTCCGACTCTCGATGTTCCTCTATTCAATGTAAACTCACTATTTCTCGAGATGGACAAAATCAATACGACAATGGCTAATTTTGCGACAAAAATTTAAATACGCGCGTGGCTACGTGAAAGCTCAAATTATTATTGAGCCTTTTTTGGTAATGTATTTTGTAGACGCGACACGGTAAAATAATTGGCAATGCGATGATGTTGAATGCTGTGATATGAAAATATGGCAATGCGGTGTCTTTCACCTTTCATGCTCAATTAATAACGAATCTAAGATCCTCACAATCACACCCATCGACATAATTAGAAAAATAATAACAAAAGAAAAACGAAAACAAAAAACAAAAAAAAACAAAAAAAATAGAAAGTGAAAAAAAGGAAAAATGAATCAATAAGAACGAACGTTAACTGAATTTTAATCAATGTAAATTTATCTCGTGAAAAATGGATAAAAAAAATTATCATTTATTACCATAAATCTATATCGAAAATGTCTAAGTATTATATTAGGAAAATTAAATTTTCAATTTTTGCCTTTCTTATCGATTATATTATAAATTTATTTCTATTGCTATTTAAATCTGAAAATATCGCTATGAATTATACATCCAGACAAGTCGTTCGACCACGATAAACTAAATTCTAAATCTACTCGGCCAACTCTAAGCTCACTTAAATGGAAATTAAGATTTTAGTTATTCGATAAAACACGACAATTAATTGTATTGCCATCGATTGGCACTATTATGTTAGTTAATAAAATTCCATCGAGATAGATCCCTGAAAATGAATTGCCCAACAGGGCACGCTCGTACGAGATTTCTGATATACATTTCTCAAAAATTTTATTTACACAAAATGTTGAGAAAAATTTTCCTAAGATTTACATTTCTTATTAAAAATGAAGACCTAAAAGAGATGGTCCTTCTTCATTTCCTTGGCAGCTCTAGCTGTTGAGCACTTTGGAATTTTGCCATCGAATGACGTATAGTCTATATAAAAATTCAATACAATGAATTCTATTGAAGCCGATGCAATATTGCTTTTGAAATAGATTTCAGGGAAGATCTAATATAAAATAAAAATAATAATAAATGAATATCCGATGACTCGTTCTAATAAATATTACATCATAGATGCTTTATTAAAATTTTATGTAAGATTTGTCAAACAAGGTATTAGCAATAAATTGCAATTTTACCGTTGAAGTTGAAAAATTCGAGGCTAATTCGTACTCTATGCATACTTGTCATTAATTAAAGTTTATTTGAAAATTCTAAGGAAATTTAATAATTTCGTGCTCTTAAGGTCTTGGCTGTTGCATAATATACTTTAGACTAGTCAACTGCCTTGATTGTAAAATATCTCAATTGCAATGAAAAACAATGCCTCGTAATCATGTAAATATATCGATAATAGATATCTCATCAAGTATTCGACACTATCATTACGAACAAAATTCAAGAATATTCGCTGGCGCTTGCATCTTTTAAAGTTTACGTTCACACCTCAAAACCATCGACCGAATCTACAATTTGATTAATTAGTATTGCCCCCACTGCCGCATCACCCACTAATAATTTTGCAAAGATCTTGAGAAATTCACACGCTAGTTATACTGTAATCGCATAATCGTATAGTGTAAGAGATAAAGAGACAAGTCTATCAAATATTGTGCTTGTAAATTAATGAAGAAGATAAAAGAAAAAAGAAGTATTTCGATTATGCATATCGAAATCTTTATGCATCGTCGATTGACCAATGTCGCATGTTTTATTTATTCACTCGCGCCAAGATAATCACGTTTGACTTTACTTAGGCCATTGTAAATTGTCATAAAATCAATTTATATTTTACACAAACCGTTCTATTACGAACATTGTCATGTCAAAACTCAACAATTGCAGTACGAACGAATTACATAACGAATAAACATACGTAAACTCACGCAAGCACGCAGGCTTTCCCGAGCGGCAACTTTAATAAATATTCTAATCTTTAGATTATCTTATCAATACGATTGCCCCTTGGTCTATCGGAGCAAACAATTTTAACGAGAAGAGCTTACGAATGAAGGAATGAAAAAATAAATAACGACGTCTACGTTATAACGAGAAATGACTCCCACGAAGATGCCCGTGTCCTGCAGGTAACGGCAGCTTCGAGTAACCATCGCACCATTTCCCGGGTATCGTGCTGCCCTTTTTCTTCTTCTTCTTGTTTTTTTTTTTTTTTGTTTCTACAAAGCGCATTGCATTACGTATATTTCATCAATCGCGAGAACTTTATAAGCGTCCCGTAAGAATGTAGAGCCCGCGACGGGTGGCCGGAGGGGGTTTCGGGCCTCGGGAGAGGCTGGGACCGTGTATCCAGAGAGGTGGGGACGGGCATCTTCGCTTTTTTGGCGTACTTACCGGATTCGAGGACGGTGTAACGAGTATTCGAGGTGTCTATCGGTAGCATGTTCATCATCCAGGATATAATGGGCGAGGGCGAGCCGACCGCTGAGCAGGAGAGCTCGGCTTTGTGTCCGTTCTCCACGACCTTCATCGTCGGCGCCTGGGTGATCATGGGGAAGCCCGTTGGCAGTTTTTCGGCTGTAACGTAAAGGCGTTCGTTAGTCGTTAATAGTTAAACCATTCGCGTTCTTATAATTCGATGTACATTCAGTGATGTATGTAAAGTATTATTTGGTGGTTAAAATAAATATCGCTGCGCCATAATTTCGACGGTTCTTAAATTTATCCGAAAAATTTCATCGATTAATTGCTAGTCGGTAATTATGAATAATGCACATATCTTAAGTAGATTTCGGATACGAAGATATAAAATATTAACATTTTTAAAATCCGCAGGAATTTTATAATTTAAACATTTTTTTTTTTTTAAATAATTTTTCTCCCCCTTGTAACTCTATCGCACTCTTTCTCTCTATCACTTCTGATTCATTTGCCTTTCTATACCATTCAAGAATCCCTTTCATTGAAAGAACAATTAATTGAAATGAAATTTTATATATATATATATATATGCAAATTAAAAATCTCGCTTTCCAGATATTATCTTACTTTTTCTTTTTCTTATATATATGGACATCAAAAAAAAAAAATATATATATATATATATATATATATATATGGGAGATAGAAATATATGTAGTGTTTGAATAGAGCAACAAATTAAAGTAAATATCTAGATATTTATTTTAGATTTTATTTTATTAGACTCAAAAGACAATTTTAATCTTAAAAATAAATATTTTTACACAATATTTCGAATTAACTTAGTAATTTTATGTTTTTCTCTATGATATCTAATTTGATAGTCAGAGAAAGCAGTTTTCATTACCTCTACATATAAAATAGTATAAATATCGATTAAAATTATGCAAACTGACTCCATTCTGAAATTTAACTCATATAAGGTCTGCCGAGCGTTAAAGGATTAAGTTCAACGTCTATTTTATGAGAAAATGATGGAGTAATGTAATTTGTAAGTTATATAAAAAATTCAAATATTTAAATATATGCGCAAGATAACTAATATCTTAGATCTAACACATTAATTATTAATTAAGCGAATAATTAATTGTAAAAAGTAATTCCTAACATTTATTAAAATGTTTACATTAAATTGTAGCGTAAATAACTTATGAGTAGTTATTGTTATCATTATTATTGTTATTATTATTTAAATAATGTATAATTATTCGTGAATTTAAATGGTAAGAATTTAATGTCCGACTGTGTCTACTGACGAGCAATCGACAAAATGAAGAGAAGTCCTTCGTATAATTAACCACTCGAATATTAAAAACATGCCATAAACATAAAACATAGAGAAAACAGAAGCGTTACGGCACAATGACCACATAGCAAATGTAACATAGCAGCAGATGGAAAAAAGCATCAAAAAATCAAAAAACAAAAATTTCAGTATTTCGCAAACGCGGAGTATAATTCATTAATGAAATTCACCCGGTTATTTCCATATTCTGAATCAAGCGAGCGCCAGGCCACCTCCATAGTAATGAAAACAAGACAAAATCAAAAGAATGTAAAAAAAGACTAAGCCTCCTTTACGCCCCCACCATCTCTAGAAAAATTCGATTGATGTCTCGATGCTCATCAATATCATTTCGCGGAAAAACGTCGGGCAAAAGTTGGAAAGCGCGAGGTTTGATTTATCCGATACGTTGAAAAAAAAAAAAAAAAAAAAAAAAAAAAAAAAAACAAAGAACCGGCGTTTTCAATGCATAGAACCGATAACGCGGACGGTGGAAGGGGCGGAAGTTGTATCTTGCAGTCGGCGAAACTTTGATTATGGGCAGTTGAGGTGTCTCAGTTTGCGAGTTATCCTATTCTAGTTTTAGCAAAGTTGTAGATTGCAATATTTCATGTCTTTAGTTATCGTTTATTCCATGATAAAGTATACGAAGTACACAAGCATTGCAAATAAATTATACTCCACCTTAATGATAAAGAAAATATCCTGATTGGATGAAAAATAAAAGGGCAACTTGCTGCATTTGGTGTATAATAATAGTAAGTACCAATAATGGACAAAAATCATTCAGAGCTATTTTATTTTTTATTTATTTATTTATTTTTTGTTTATGAAATGGTCAGCAATGATAATAGGTGGCACTTGTAGTTAAAATACTTTGGCCACGTATCGCAATAATCGCTTAATTCTCATAGGAATAAATAAAAGGGCATTTCATATACGTAAAATGATTTCTTATCGTCGAAAACTGGTTTTCAATTTCCATTGATTTTTCAATAGTATCATATTAATTTTTTCCTACGAAAAATCACTTATCAGACTGCGCACATTTTCAATGGTATTTCTTAATCACGCGCGCGCGCGTGTTTTAGCTCATTGACATTTTTCCTTCTTCGTCCTGTATTTCAGTTAATCTATTTATGCGTCTCGGTCTCGCATTTTCTCTCTTCCTCGATCCCGTGAAATGAGAAGTTACGATCAACCATTGCAACTGTCCGTCTTCCATTTGCAAAAGTAGAAAGCAGACTCGCTCTCATTTTCTCCTCCCACTCGCCTATTTGCTTATTTCTCTTCGTCCTCTCGACCCCTCTGCAGCACTCTTCCACTTGGTTTGGATGCGACCGAACTTCTGATACGGATAGATGCACGTCGCCGGAGTCGAATCGAAATTCAATATCGGGCAAAGATCGTGTGGGAAATGGTAAAAAAAAAGGGTTAAAACCCATCGAGGCTAGGAGGGGATAAGAGAGCGTGGAAAAAAGGGGGATTTACGAGTGCTCTTTCTCGCCATTACTCATGAAAGTGCTGGGACGGTGCGGTAGTGGGATGACAATGGGCAAATGGGAGGGAGATAAAAGAGAGAGATAGAGAGAGAGAGAGAGAGAGAGAGAGATGCGCACGATGAACAATTCTAGCATTACCGATATGCGACACTTCGACTTATGCTTTTCGTAAAACTCTATCGAATGTAGCTTTAGCACATCGCATACAGTGTTTCGACATAATGTAGTCGCCGAGTAATGTATTTTCACAAAGTTTCTCCGTATTTATTAATATTTGACAAATATCGATATTTTGTCGAAACAGGTCAGGAAATTAGTTGGAATATATAGGATATCAATACACACAGCGATTCATAAGATTCGCATCACTGCAAATTGCTTTTAAAAATGGCTTTCTCGACATTATTTCCTTCCTAGATACTTGAAAGATACGATACGAGGATGTTGGAGTACAATAAATATAATAAATCAATAAAGAAATACAAATGTCTTAGTTTAGGAACCTTAAGGTAAATAAGCTACGTAACAACGAGTATGCGAATCTGTCAGCGACTGCCATCCCACTATAATGTCACCTTTTTTGTGATAGCTGGAAGGGGTGGAATGAGGTGTGTAGGTTGATATCGAGGGTTCAAAATGGAGAGAGAGAGAGAGAGAGAGAGGAATAGGAGACTGGGGGGTAGGTATGCACGAAGCAAAGGCAAACTTGGCAAATTCAACTTCGATAAAGTCGCAAAAGCGTGACGTATGCGCGACGTCGAAGAACTCGCTTGGCCGCTAAGTCGATGAGATTTAGACGCCTCCTTCGAGGGAAAGTTTCGCTGTTTATTTTTCTATTAGATCCTGGGTGCGAGGCAGAGCTTCCTCGATGCTTCCCCGGCTATTTTGATTTATGATCGGAAACTGGACTGGGTAGGGCCGTGGCGCCTCGGTCAAGAGCGTCAAACTTTCCTGGCGAGCTCTTTCTTTTCAATTACACGCGCCAAACGTAATTCCATAACGGCCGACTTTTCATACTCTGTGCTTCATTTTTTTCTTTCTTACTGTTTTCGTTTTGTTTTGTTTTGCTTGGATTTTTATTTTTTTTCTTCGTTTTGTTTTGTTTTTTTTTTGGTTTTTTGGTTTTTTGTTTTCATAGAGCGAAATACGCGCGCTAGAAGATGCGAGGGGATTATTACGATGTGGCGCATATTTTCTTTATAGCTTTTGCGGGTTTTTATGGACCCGCGAGGCGGAAAGTTGCAGCCGAAAGTTTCGTAGGTGCAGTTTTTGCGCGCTGGAGCGCCGATATCATTGGCTCATCCGCAATTAACGCGGCTTACGACATGTCATGCTTTATAAATTTGCATGCATACATACGCGTTGATAATTTTTTTAGATGAGTGGTTTTTTTTTTTTGTATTAGAGCGAAGCCACTGTGGATTCATGTATTTGTAGTAACGTCTGTATGAATCTTGAACAGTGACAAAATTTAAGCTACAAAGATAGTAATTCAATTGAATATTATTACAAATCGTTGTTTAACTTTCTTTAATGTCCATTAAATCTATGCTCTATATAACTGTATATATGTATTAGCAAGAATTTTATAATAATATTTGTAAGAATCTTTTTGTTTTTTTTTCCTTATAAGATGCATAAAATAGCAACAATTTTTAACCATTTTCGTTAAAAATTTTAATTTAAATTTCGATATCGCAGTCGTCTTTTCTGAGGAATAAATGTTAGAATTTAAGCGCAATCGTATTTCACATTGAATATTGCTTTAGACATTTAATAGTCCTTTTTCTCGTTCCGTCGATCTCAATTAACTGCGCATATATTTAAGCATACTTAAGTAAATTAATATATATTGAGAAAGTAACGAGTACCTTGATTTATTAATATGATTGACTGAACATTCGTTAAAGTAGTAATAAAGGACGAAAAATGACCATTACTTTTGGATATTAGATAATAGAAGGGCATTAAGATAAAAATATAAATGGTAAGAGGAGTGGTTTTTGTTTATTATTATGATAAAGTAAGATAAAGTAAATGTATCCTGTAAATGGTTACATTACCATCACATTTATATTTCATTTATAATTTATTCACAATAATTCCAAAGCTCTGGCGGAAAAATATATGAGCACGAAGTTTTCAAGAAAGCTTATCCCATTATAAATTTGATACCTTATTGAAATAAATGGTAAGAGAAGATCAAAAGGAAACAAGATAATGGATAATGTAATTGATATTAAAAGACAATGAAATTTATATTAAGTTTTATTATTATATATTTTCCTCGGGTCATCCTCGGTTAACTC